TATAAAGTTAGCAGTTTCTTGAGAGAATTTTTTTTTCTAACAGTCACACCATACCAGTGTTGTTGTACCAGGAATATGAGACATTATATATATATATATATATATATATATATATATATATATATAATTTGCTCTCATATTCTTACACTTATTCTATACCATTATGCCCATAACCTTTCTATTCTATACCATAATACCACTAACCTTTAAACTATAAATATGCCCCTAATCTTATTCTATACCATAATGCCCTTAATCTTTATACTACAAAACGTCATGATCTTACCCTTTAGTATTTGATACAAGTCTCAAATTGATTGTTTAATACAAGTCTAAAAATTGATAATTTGATACAAGCCTCAAGTTGATTATTTGATACAAGCCTCAAATTGATTATTTGATACAAGCCTCACATTGATTATTTGATACAAGCCTCACATTGATTATTTAATACAAGTCTCAAATTGATTATTTGATACAAGCCTCAAATTGATTATTTGATACAAGCCTCACATTGATTATTTGATACAAGTCTCAAATTGATTATTTGATACAAGCCTCACATTGATTATTTGGGTTCCCAGAAAGAACCGCAACGGAAAAAAGCGCAACGGAAAAAAGCGCAAATCAAAAAGCGCAACGGAAATAAGCGCACACGGAAAAAAGCGCAAAGAGAAAAAAGCGCACACAGAAAAAAGCGCAAAGAGAAAAAAGCGCAAACGGAAAAAAGCGCAAAGAGAAAAAAGCGCACACAGAAAAAAGCGCAAACAGAAAAAAGCGCAAACGGAAAAAAGCGCAAAGAGAAAAAAGCGCACACGGAAAAAAGCGCAAAGAGAAAAAAGCGCACACGGAAAAAAGCGCAAAGAGAAAAAAGCGCACACAGAAAAAAGCGCAAACAGAAAAAAGCGCAAACGGAAAAAAGCGCAAAGAGAAAAAAGCGCAAACGGAAAAAAGCGCAAACAGAAAAAAGCGCACACGGAAAAAAGCGCAAACGGAAAAAGCGCAAACGGAAAAAAGCGCAAACAGAAAAAAGCGCAAACGGAAAAAAGCGCAAACAGAAAAAAGCGCACACAGAAAAAAGCGCAAACAGAAAAAAGCGCAAACGGAAAAAAGCGCAAACAGAAAAAAGCGCACACAGAAAAAAGCGCAAACGGAAAAAAGCGCAAACAGAAACAGAAAAATGCGCAACCAGAAAAAACACAAAGAAAAATGTGCAAAAGAGAAATTTAGCACAAAGACCATATGGACTAGATGACACATTTATACATGACTGTTAGGGCTGCTGTGAGAGTGTCGTGTTTGATCACGTGATCTACTACCATTTAAAGCGTACCACTACCATCTGCATTCCCATCACCACGATACAGGCGATAATCACTTTACACAATGCCTATTATTTTCTTGGTCAATAATTATTCAACTACTATGTAATTGAGGTAGGGTTTAATGACCTAACAGAGTGGGTATGTAATTGAGGTAGGGTGTAATGACCTAACAGAGTGGTAGAACAGGCGGGTCACAGGTCATTGTTGACCTTTGTTCAAATCCTGATTATGAACGTGTGTGATCGATAGGTCAGGTAAAGGTCAGCTATTGCCCAGATCATCAGGTCAGATTTGATCTTTGTATTGGGATAGAAATTTCTAGAAACTCAAACGTTGCTAATGAGTTAATTACCAGAGTGAATCACCTGTGTGAACTATTTGAGTGAATTACCAGAGTGAATTACCTGTGTGAACTATTTGAGTGAATTACAAGAGTGAATTACTTAAGAGAATTATTACTAGAGTGAGTTACCGCTGAGTGGATTATTTGAGTGAATTACCTAAGTGTATTACTAGCGTGAATTACTTGAATGAATTATACACGAGTGTACGAATGCTGTTTGAAAATAAGAGGATGGTGGTTGAGTGATAGGGCATACAATCAACACACGGTTGGTTCTGGTTCAAGACCTATTCACTCATACTCTTCCACCACCTCTCTCTCTCACACACACACAGACACTACACCGGTGGAAAAATACGTCACTTCCCTTCTGACGTCAAAGCCCACACACTTTAATTTAATGGTACAGCGGCTAGCTATGTTGAAATTATATGTTTCTCTGTCCTCACCTTAAGAAGCGGCAGAGCCATCAGGACAATGCCCTGTCTATGCCCTGTCTATGCCCATTCTATGCCCTGTCTATGCCGTCTATGCCCATTCTATGCCCCCGTCTATGCCCATTCTATGCCCCCGTCTATGCCCATTCTATGCCCTGTCTATGCCGTCTATGCCCATTCTATGCCCATTCTATGCCCTGTCTATGCCCTGTCTATGCCCCGTCTATGCCCCCGTCTATGCCCAGTCCGACCTATCAACATGTAACCGTAACAATAATAAATTCTCAACCACTTTACTCCCCCCATCCCCCCTCCCCAACCACCCCCACACAAACTACCTGTATTTTATGATTGTCTGTAAGAAAAAATCCTTTAATATTTGACAAGACAAAACTAGCCTTAACAATGGCAGCTGTTATTGGAAACATGCCAGATTTTTTAAAAAAGGTTTTGATACCCTTGACGTCATTCATGGCACACGAGTTTGTTCCTGCATGTCAATTAACGACAAGTTGCAGAACATGTCGCAAACAATGTCGCACGTTGCGGAACATCGAGAACATGTCGCAGCACATGTCGCTGCACAAACTGGTGAGAATTTAGAACATGTTGCTGAACTTGTCGCAGAGAATGTCGCAGAACAAATCCGGGAACATTTAGAACATGTTAGAGAGTAAACTGCTGAGCATCTAGATTCTAGAACATGTCGCAGGACTTGCTGCAGAATATGTTTCGCAGAACAAATCCAGAAACATTCAGAACATGTCACAGAACGAGAAACATCAGCCGTTTACATAGGACTAATTAGACGTCATTAATACGGCTGTATGTGGGTTTGGGTGGGTGGTGGGGGTTGTCGCGCGCCATGCAAATGTCCACAATTCCAAGACTCCTCTCGCCCCCCCCCTTCCCCCCCCCCCCCACACACACACACAAATGCAGGAGATTAGGGCGTCAATTCGAGAGACGACAAAGAAATGTCGGGCTCGCAAGTTTTGAAAACGTGTCCCGGGATTGAAGAGGATTAGCTCGTGTCTGGATGTCATTACTTAAGCTCTGAGCTCAACTCTTGTCTGAATGGGCATGTGGGTGATTTGTCATTACTTAAGCTCTGAGCTAAACTATTGTCTGAATGGGCATGTGGTTGATTTGTTTTTACTTAAGCTCTGAGCTTAACGTGTGCATGAATGGGCATGTGGGTGATTTATCATTACTGTAGCTCTGAGCTTAACCTGTGTCTGAATGGGCATGTAAATGATTTGACATTACTTAAGCTCTGAGTTCAACGCGTGTCTGAATGTCATTACTTAAGCTCTGAGCTAAACTCTTGTCTGAATATCATTACTTAAGCTCGAGCTAAACTCTTGTCTGAATATCATTATTTAAACTGAGCTGAGCTCATGTCTGAATGGGCATGTGGATGATTTGTCGTTTTAAGCTCTGAGTTCAACGCGTGTCTGAATATCATTACTTAAGCTCGAGCTAAACTCTTGTCTGAATAGTATTTCTTAAGCTCTGAGCTGAACTCATGTCTGTATGGGCATGTGGATGATTTGTCATTAAGCTCCGAGCTTAAGCCATCTAAAATGAGAATGGGTTTTTTTTTTTGGCTTTTGTAATACGAGGTTTCAAGAGTTAGCTCTAGGTGCATCTTGGGTATTACAGCGTTTGGATTAAAGTTTAGGTTTAGAGATTCTTTTGTTTATATGAGTAATCTGGTTTTCAATACGAGTTTTATGAGCTTCGGGTGAAAGTCAAGGTACCCTTTAGTGCTGGGTAAACTCAAGCCAAACAGCAGACGACACAATTATTCTGACCTTGTAGAATAATCCGCTTGTGTCAAAAAATCGATTGGGAAATCTAAAACTCTCTGGCGAGATTCGAGTGAAATAAAAGAAATACCTTGACCTTTGGACACTCGGTCAGCGTACTAATATAGGGGCAGGTGGGGTATGACGGGGTTAATGAGGTACTATCAAGGACCTAATTCTCTTGAAAGTAGTTGAAGTAGAGTCAATCAAACAAGTATAGATACCTTTGTGTTGCATGTGTTTTCTGCAGTTGTTTGTCCTCATAGATTTCAGTTTTACAAACTTGGAACGACGAAAAAAGACATAAATTTAACCAAGGTTTCGGTCAAAGAAAGACTTATGTTACACGTATACGGTGTCAATGCCCCCCCCCCCCTTAACACTGGCCTCATCCTATAAGCTCCGGAAAAAGTTATTGGTGAGAGTTTTAAGGGAAAGTCGAGACAGAACCAAGCGTAAGACAGTAAATTAGGTCCGTCTTTTTATTCAATGTTTTTTTTTCTTAAATCGCTAATAATATTGTACCAGGCGTATATTTGACCAAACTAAGTCAAAGTCTAAACAGAGGCAGTTATGACATGCGCAGTGGCCATATGCTGTGTCTTGTGTTTCTTCCTTTTCGTTCTCAATTGTAATGTTGGGTGGGATTTCCTCCAACACAATTAAGGCGTAGCAACTTGTATTGCGCCATATGCCATATAGGCTGTCGACTCCGATTTCAGCCTGCTTTTCTTTTTGGCAACAGTTGTTTGATTTTGGAGTTGTCTCTCCTAGATTGGTCGCTGACACCCAACTATCTAGCCTCATATGATCGGGGGTTCGAACTCGGGGCATTTCCGTTTAGCAACCGTGAGCTTTACCGACCCGACCACGTACATTCAATTGGCAGTTATAGTTGGCATCCGAGGCGGTAGCCCCCCCCCCCCCCCCCCTTCCCCTTTCATCACATACCTACGCCACCGAATTAAATGTAATGTTTGGAAAAAAAATCAAATTTGACAATGATACCCGATTTAATGTTGGGATGACATTTATGAATACATTTGAGAACCGTTGATAGAAAACTAGACCTATGTGTACTCACCTTTTCTTCTTTTCCGTTGATCTCCAGAAACACCGTCTTGGCTTGCTCGAAACTCGATCCGTTGCCCATGGTAACGGAATCGTGTTTACCTTAGCAACCGATGGCGGAGGCGGTAATGAATGGTTTGTTTTCTCAGAGTCTGTGGGCGGGGTTTTTATTGAGGCGGTGTCAGGGAGGTGTTGACGGGGTGTAGGGTGTCAGGGTGTGCAAATGGTGTCAGTGAGCGGGGAACTCCCAAAGAGGTGATTAGCTTGAAGGTGATCTCGTCAAGGAAGTTTACCAATGGTGAGACAACTCCCGGTTGACCAAAGGTGAGACAACTCCCGGGTGGTCGAAGAGAAGCGGCGTGTACCGTAGACCTGTACCGATGTAGAAAAACAAAAAGGTAAAATTCAGAAAATATTTTACTTGATACATTTCGTTTCCTCACATGTTTATGTATTTATATACATAGACATACAAACATGGACAAACAAACATAGGTATATATATATATATATATATATATATATATATATATATATATATATATATATATATATATATATATATATATATATATATATTGCACACGAAGAAACGCTATTATTTTTTTCCTTGTAATCATTCTGTATATCTTCAATTGCAGCTTTATATTTTGGGATGTAAAAATTCACAAAACAATCGATATTCTACGGCTGATTAATCCCAATAACCATGTTTAAAATATTGATTTGTAAATTAGTTAGATACCGTACAATTTACGTCATTAACAGACAATGCGGACAATGATGATTCAGTTAGTAAAAAATTATATTTAATCATGGTAACTGATCCCAATTATTACGTCATCAACAGAGTTTCTTCAAGGCGTCTCTTCCACGAAGTGGAATTTATATAGAAAATATATACTTTTAACAGTGTCCACCCCCCCCCCCCCCCCTCCCGGAGAAAAAAAAAGTCTAGAAGAAACACTGAGTCATCAATAATTAATTTCATATTAATTTTTAAAGTTAAGTTTACCTTGTAATCCAAATTTGTAGTGTTATTACTACTTCTATGCTGCTGGGTGGAGATTATTTTAATTATCCGCGAGCAAATTGTTTTATTAGTTCTGAAATCTTGAAAAAAAAAAGTTCATCTAAAGATTATTTCGGTGGGTTTGACATCTTTCGGTGTTTGCTCTACACGCCAGCGTAGCCCGTCTGGTTTTTTGTATTTCTGTTTTGTTTTATTTTGTTTCGTTTTTTCTGTAATTTTGAATGAGAGACCCAATCGATTCGTGTTTTTAAATGATCCCTCGAAGCGTTATTTGCGTCACATCCGGTGGTTTGCCCGACGTCTTATCTTTACATCTGTTTTGTGGGCTTTTGCCCCGGCTGAAGAAGGGAAATTTTCCAGCTCTTCAACATCTGAAGATAAAAAAAAAATAGATTCACCGTAAAGCTTTTATAAATTGGACAGGGTTCGACTGTTAAAAAATTAATGCAATCATTTTTTTTTTCAATTTAGGTACTCGTAATATATTTATGAATGGAGCAGAGCTAGAAGAGGTCGAAGACTTTAAGTACCTCGGCAGCTATATATCAGCAAATGGCAGCATGGAGAAAGAAATTGCCACCAGAATAGCAATGGCAGCACAAGCTTTTAACAGACTCGCTAAGATCTGGAAATCATCCTCACTGCAGCAGAGAACTAAAATAAGGATCTATAAGTCTAATGTACGTTCTGTACTCCTCTATGCTGCAGAGTCATGGAAACTAAACAAGAAAGTAGACAGCCGACTCAGAGGCTTTGAAAGAAGATCCCTCCAACGCATCCTCAGGATAAAGTGGGACGACAAAGTCCCAAACAAGGAAATATGGCGAAGGACAGGATTAAACGACATTGTCTCAGAAGTTAGAACGAGGAGATGGAGATGGCTGGGCCATGTCCTACGCATGAGCAAAAAAAGACTCCCCAACATGGCGCTGAAGTGGAACCCACCCGGAAAGAGAAGTAGAGGAAGACCACTGGGAACATGGAGGAGGGAGATGGAAGAAGAAGTACAGGCTACTGGCAAAACCTGGCATGAACTAAAGTGGCTCGCCCAGGACAGGGTGGAATGGCGGAGATTTGTTGTTGCCCTATACTCCACAGGGAGTGATGAGGATTAAGTAAGTAAGTAATATATTTATGATGATTCGATCAAAAAATGTAATACAATCGAACTTTTTGATACAAACTTTGGAGTTTTGACATTTATAAAAAGATAACGTCAAGATAGTTATCTATAAAATAAATAGATTTCTAATCGAACACGGGAGTTGATTCACGTTGAGAAATGTTTTCATATTTTTGTGTTGTGATACACAGAATGTCGATTTACTAGGGCAAGCTGGCAAGTTTATAGTTTAAAAGTTGTCAGAGCAGGAGGAATAAAAATCTGACCAAACCAATGCTCGAGAAAGACAGAGAGATTGAGAGAGGATAGAGACAAAGAGAGACCTAGAAAGACAGAGAAATATGGAGAGAGACAGAGAGGTATGGAGAGAGACAGAGAGGGACAGAGACGGAAAGAGAAATCGAAGAGAGAGAGAGACAGAGAGATAGAGACAGAGAAAGAGAGACAGAAAAAGACAGACACAGAGAGACAGACACAGAGAGAGAGAGAGACAGAGAGAGACATAAAGATAGAGAGAAACAGAGAGATTCAGAGATGGAGAGAGACAGAAAGAGACACAGAGGGAATATTTCACTGACAAACTTGAACTTGCCGTGATAATGGGGTGAGTAAAACTTTAAATCAAAACACGTGACACCCGCATCACGTGACCAGCATTTGTCGGGTCTTTTTTTTGTTAACGTTTCCGGCAGACGACATCACGTCACAGACGTGTTACGGTCGATTAGCCGTACCCTTACACTCACACGGGTCATGACGACCAGCACGTTTCTTTGATTCTAAAGATAAGCTTGGGTTTATAGTTACATGTAATGTAATGTTGGTGACTGGCAATGTTACTGTGGCTGGAGATGAGGTTGGTTAAAGGCAAAAGGGTACGGATTAAATGTGTATTTTAGTATCTCTGGGTGGGGTTTGATCCTCGATTGTTAATGAAGCGCGCCAGCTAACGTCTAAGCTACTAGATGTAGTACAAAATGCTAAAAAAAAATCGATTTTCTAGTGTAACGCTTACCTATCTATCAGCCAGATAGAAGGTGAACGTCCCCGGATTCTTTTTTTGGGGTTATATGCAAATGCCTTACGGCCTAAATGGATGAACACTAACACAACGACACACTAGGGCTCGAATTCGATGTCTAGGGAAAACTAGTGATACTATTGTAATTAACACTCATCCAATCTGCATACAACCTTTAATAAGCGAACACAGTTGTGGCAGAACACAAGGTTAAACTGGATAAAATATTTAATGTATAAAATATCAAAACCCAACTTACAAAATGTAGGGAAAAACACTATCACAGATTTCAACACTGCCTAATAATAGCCACAGGCCACACAACACTGCTATAGCTTCAAGAATTACTTGGCGACAAGTAATATTATACTAGAAGACTAAATCAACTTAAGAAAGCAAGGCACACACAGGACTTAAGTTCTCTCACGTTCAAATGGTCAGAATCTATTGCCGGACAATATGGACGGCTTGGTCGTAATGGACCGTTTGATCCTGGTAGACTGCCTGATCAAGGTGAAACTGCCTGCGACAAGTCTCAAATGGAGACTCACAGATCACTCAAGGCCACTTGAGCTACTGTTATCGTGCTGGATGTGTTTCCTATGGTGTGACACTTTACGTGGTTCTAACCACTAGGCCACTAGTGGTGTTCCTAACCACTATGCCACACTACTCGGCAGCAAGCCGAGTTTCTAAGCCACTAGACCACTAGGCACCATAGACTCTACTCAGTTTCTCACCGAGTATTCGAACCTCGGCCGCCGCCGTGGCGCGCCGAGATCCTAGCCATTGAGCTATGGGGTAGTCATATGATCAGAATCATTCAATCAGATCTTAATGGAAAATTTCTACGTCTTAGACACCCTTGGTAAGACAGTGGAAAAACCCCAGGAGTTACACAATCATTCCATATAAGGTATTATACAATGTCAAAATAAAAATGGAAGCTGACTCGACCTAAGTAGGTCACACTAGACAAAGAAGAAAATATTTGGTTAAATTATGATGCGATTTTAAACATCTGTCTATCCAACTAATACACCAGTCAGTCTTAATGTCTGTCTGGATGTCAATATTGATGTCTGTCTTGAAGTCTTTCTTGATGTCTGTTTTAATGTTTGTCTTGCTGTCTGTCTTCATGTCTGTCTTGATATCTAGGTGAAATCTTGCAATCAATTTTCAAACAGATTAGTTTAAAACTTGCAAAATAGAATTTATTAGCCATTAATGCAAGAAGTACACACCGACAAATTGAAATGTTAGTCTAATTGTAAATTTAAAACATTATTTTCTATCTAAGGCAGATAAAAATAGAACATTGCTATGCAAACCATCGGTGTTGTTAGTATTAGAAATCTGAGACTATAATCTCATGTCTTGTAAACTAGTATTGATTAGCCGGTGAAGGTTTTTGTTGGCATAGGTTGGTAGGTTTTTCATGATGAATGTAGGTTCAAGTTTCAGATTGTATGTTTTGGTAGATATTACCTGTTTCTTGTAGCTTTCGATAGGTTTGTGTTGATAGCTGTAGGTGTTGACATGAGACCTACAAAGACTTCACCTTTGTGAAATTCCTCTACCGACCAATGACACCAGTAAAAGGTAAAAAAAAAAAACGACACACGTATAAATCCCGAGTTCTGGTAATGGCATGGTTGAAATTGGCATCGGAGCCAGAGGATGTGTGGGGTTCTAGAGCTTTGGTGGTGCTAGTATAACAGGGGCGAAAATCAATGCAGATAATCAAAGGAAGACGGTCACAGACAAACAAAGGTTTGTGGGTAAATACGAAACTAACGGGCGGGGAGGCAAATACGAAACTAACGGGCGGGGAGGCAAATACGAAACTAACTAGTTCAGAGTCAGATACCTGGCTAACGAGTCAGGCTAGGTCGTGCTTGGTTTGGTCGAGTTAAATTTAGTCGCGCTAGGTTTGGTCGAGTTAAATATGGTCGTGCTAGGTTTGGTCGAGTTTAATTTGGTCGCGTTAGGTTTGGCCGAGTTAAATTTGGTCGTGCTAGGTTTAGTCGAGTTAAATTTGGTCGCGCTAGATTTGGTCGAGGTAAATTTGGTCGCGCTAGGTTTGGTCGTTAAATTTGGTTGTGCTAGGTTTAGTCGAGTTAAATTTGG